AAAGGCGGTCCCTTAGGTAGGCCTCTATGGATTAAGTCCAGTGTCCATTACATATGCACCCATAGTAATTGATGCTGCTGTTGTATATCTGAAAATATAAGGGAAAAAATGTCTGGTAAAATGATATAGGTCAGCTATAAATGCAAGAACTAAAACATCAGTTGTGTAAAAAAATCAGCTTCCAATTCTGGTCCAGAAAGTAGCAGTATAGTCAATGAGTCAGAGCCAAAATGTCCTCAATAGAAAGCAGCACTGTAATGCAGATGTAAATAGCTTATATAATTTGGTACTTGATGGTGTAATCCTAATGCAAAGAAGAGTGGCCCGATCGTCACCAAGTGCGGCATCCTGGGGGTCTGCCTGGCTTCTTTCTACAGTGCACCCCCCCCCAAGGCACCCAGGACTCTTCAGCTGACCTCGGCGGCCAGGGGATGCCACCAAAGTATCCTGGAACCAGGGCCAGGCCCAGACCGGCTGCTCTCCATGTCCCCAGCATGGCTCTCCAGCTCAGATGGCCTCCCCATCTGTCACCAGGTCAGTGGGTCCCCGCAGTGCTCCAAGGCTCACTCTGCTCTCTGGCTGCCTGCAGGCTGCAGCCTCCTTCCCTCCCTCCTTTGCCACCTGCCCCCCCCCCCAGAGACACTTACTGGCTCGAGCTCCTCCGGTCTTTAGGGAATCCATGGCGGAGCCAACTCAGCCCTGCGATGACTGTTAGCACCCCACAGAATGCTGCGTGCAGAAAGCCTAATGCCACGCACCCATGGGGGCAGCCGGGAAAGTGCACGGCTCGGCCCAGGCATGCCCCCCCACCTCGCTTCCTTGCAGAAGGGGGCAAAAGAGCCTGTGCTCCTCAAGGGAAGGGGGTGGCAGCAGCAGCGTGTTCTTCCAAGTGCCTCTCCCCCCAACCGAACAGGGTGGGGCAGGGCGGCAGGTGGGCCAGAGTGGCACTCTCATCAAGCTGGTATCCAAGGCAACTGCCTAAATTGTGTCTATGATAGTCCGGACCTGATAGTCAACCATTCTCACAGGGACTCAAAGCATAGTGAGCCAGCACAATAAAAAAAAAGGAGACATTGAACAACCAATGCATTAGGCTTGTAGAAGTCTGGAACCAGATAAAACGGAAGGATAGCAGAAGTATTCACTTGAATCATTAAGCAGTAGTCACTCATGGTAGATATAAAGGGATACCATATTCAGCAAGACTCTGTGTGTGTAATCTAAGTCAAGTTGACTCGGTTTTCCACGTTCTCCTATACTGTCCCCAATACGATGATATAAGTTTTACTTTTTTAGACCCAATTTTATCTAATAATTTGGCTGCCTGGATGCTCTGAAGGTGCACCATCTCCTGAATGATTTGTCACCTGAAATAACTGAAAAGGTTGCCTTATTTCTAAGTTTGGTAATCAAGGACCGATTGCGCAATGCGGAGATGTGTAGATGCATATGATTGGCTCATTTCTCCTTGTTACCTCTTTATCTGTTTATGTTTCCTCCTGTAACCTGACATATGCCAATAAAGGTCTCTGTGTGTGTGTGCATTAAGCAGTACAAAAATTATAAAATAGGATCCTACATACAGTAAGCTATACACAGCAGTATAGAAAACAGTCCCTAATCATTTCGCCAAGTAAGTTTGTAAACCATTTTGTACAGGGCAAGCCTATTAACTTCTGGAATAATTCCATTTTGTATAGTTGGCAGAAAGTTAGGACAGTGGAAGCCCTCCTGACTTCCTAGGCAGGCTATCCCATAAGGTGGGAGCCACAGTGGAGCAACCACGACCCATTTTGAAATGGATCGAGGAACACGAGGCTGAAAACTTCAGCAACCCCAGCCTGAAACCTTTAGACATGTGTTTTCAAAACAAGAATTGAATTGTTCGTTGTTTCCTTTCTCCTAACAGAAATGTAAAGACAACTCAAGACCAGAATCCTGAAAGAAGAAACTGAACATAATAACTAATATCCAGCCTGACAACCCTTCCCATTATGGATGCTGCCCTGGATCATTATGGTGACCCAAGTTATACTTATTCTTCTTTTCCGAATGACAGTATCAATTATGGGAATGTTTCAGAAGAGATTTCATCTCGTAATACCACTGATTATGGAAGCCGCAACATTATCGATGATAGTGTAGGTATTCGTATCTCCATATTGGTCATCTGCATTTTCGGAGCTGTGGGGAATGGGATTGTCATCTGGCTTCTAGGCTTCTTCATTAAGAGGAATCCTTTCAGCACCTACATCTTGAACTTGGCCGTCGCTGATTTCGGGGTCCTCCTAGCAGCTACATTTCTTGTTGTTGGTTATTGGATTGTATTTGTTCATGCTACTCACGCTATATTCTTTATCTTCTTTTTCATATTCCTATTCCTAGCGACATACAGCAGTAGTCAATTTCTGCTGACGGCTATCAGCATTGACAGGTGTGTGGCCGTCTTCTTCCCACTTTGGCATCGATGCCACCGGCCACCGCATTTGTCCACCATTGTGTGTGCACTGATTTGGGTCCTCTCCTTCCTGCTTACTGCAATTACCTACACTCTCATGTTTCTTTATTCACATGACAAAAATATTGAACAGTCTTACCAGTTTTTTGTGAATTCCCTGCTGTGCCTCCCGGTCATAACGATTGCCACTCTGGCCCTTTTCATTAAAGTCTGTTTGAAAGCACGACAGCATCGAAGGGGGAAGCTTTTGACCATCATCTTGCTCACTCTTCTCTTCTTCCTCCTCTTTGCTTTCCCACTGAATGTCATAGAGATCCTCTCCATTTTCAATTACTTACCAATCTACTTAACACACAGTGCACTGCTATTGGCCTGTTTAAATAGCAGCGTAAACCCAGCTATTTATATCCTGGTTGGGAGACAAGGGAAGTCTAGACAGAGGGAGAACATGAAGATGGTCTTCCAGAAGGTTTTCAAGGAGGAAGAAACCTGTACTGAGGAAACCCCAGTTGAAACCCAGTTATAATGCCCATTCCAACCAGCAAAAGTGTCTTCCTTTGTCCCAGGCAGATTCCGTTAGAATTCTATGGCACATAAGGAAAACCGGTAGGATTATGACAGATTCTGTATCAACATTTTGAATTCTCTGTCTCTAGACAGCCCCCCTCTGTCCTTTGGGAAGGCATAACACCACTGCAACTAAGAAAAATGGCCTTAGAAAGACATGAGAGCTCTTTTGTAATCCTTCTTCACTGCCATAAACATCTGGAATCCAGAGATTTTCCTCCCACCAAGTCAAAACAAGTGAGCCAGTTCCCCTGAAACGAATCATTACCACACTCCTTTCTCCAGCCCTTCTGCTTTAATCCACCATGGATGGAAGCTCACCAGGGCCAGATTAAGGCCAACTGATGCCCTAAGCACAGCCCAACAATGGTGCCCACCAGCCCTTCCAATGCTTAACTGACAAGACAGAAGCAAATTGCTCACACCATGAGACAGGGGAAAAAAGTGATATCTGGCGACACCCTTACAGTTGAACGTGGCAGATAAGGATATTTACCAAAAAAATCGACTAAAATCAAGTGTGGCTGTGAAAACGTTAAGGGCATGATAGCTAGGGGGGAAACTTCTGTGCTCTTCCCCTTCCATTGGTGCCCTAAGCATGTGCTTATTTTTCTTAAGGGCTACTCCAGGGTTGAACGTCACAACCAAGCCATGCAACTCCCAGTTGATTTAATTCCCCAGCGCCCCTAGAAACATCTGCTTCCTCATTCCCATATTTCACCTTTTTTTCCCTTGGGGTACCTTGCACATTATGATCCTCGGTAGGATAGTTTGCTGAGGATACAACTAGACAGATGTAGGCCAATGTGAAATTAGAGAGATACATTTGGTACCTACTAGGCAAATTTAATGTATGTTGGTTGAGCAGACTTTTACCCTTTTTTAAACTGTAAGATCCTCTGTGTGCTTGCTCACACATAAGTGCTTGTTGAGTTGAGTGAGATAGAAAGCATGTATAGAATAGCAGACTTCCTCTTTTCCCTGAAAGGTTCATGTAACAAATGCTTCTTACTCCTGTTGGAAAATGTAAGCAAGTAACTAAGTAATTCTGTTGTTGTTGTTGTTGTTGTTGTATGGAAGTGTGTGTAGTATAGCCAGGAGATCCAAAGATTATCTGGCATCCAGGAGCTCTAGCTCTTTGGCATGATGCACCATAGGTGTCAAGCTAGGCTTAGAGTTGGACTAAGAGAGCTCCGAAAGAGCTGTGACTGACCAAAGGTCACCTAGCTGGTTTCATGTGGAGGGGTGGGGAATTGAATCCAGTCCTCCAGATTGACTGTTTTAAGACTGGTTAAGACTAACCAGGGTCAATGTGAGAGGACAGATCTGCACATTCCC